ATCCTCATCAGTCAGCTGCAGTAGCTGACCCCCTTGCCATGCCTGCTGAGCACACCAGCCTAGCTGGAGCGCACCAAAATGCCAGCCCCTCTCCTGTGTTCTTAACTCCTGGGTTTTACATTGTGTTCACCACTGGTGTCCTTGTAACACTGCAAGAACTAAGAGGGATGCCTGAAACATATGGCTGACCTCACAGCAGCCAGTTAATTGCATTTTCTTGGAACCAATCTGTCCATTATGCCATGCTATTTGGCAACTGTCCAGATCAAGCCAGTCAACACTTGCCCACTACCCACAGTCCTTTGCAGCACAATCATTTAGAAGGTCAAAGTGCCATGTTGCCTAGCCAGGCTGCCCAGGTGTGGGTGGCTTCTGTGTCAAGGTCTTAAAGGGACACTGACCAGATATCTTGGCTTCACCCATATTTGCACTCACTTTGCATTGGTGCACTTTGTCCTATACAAGGTTCAGGGAAATGTATAATGAGGTACACAGGATAGAGTGACCCGTTTCTTTATCTTTACTATTTAAAGATGCAAGTTATGGGTTTTTAAATGTGTAATATTTTGCTGCCTAGTTTCACTTCATGTTTATAGACCTTTTCTTTTCTTTGATTTCCTGTCTAACTTGCTGCTGTTGCGCTTCTTTAAAAAAAAAAGCCCTAACTATGTGAAAAGGCCACTTTAAATGGAAACATTTCTATTCCTATTTAAGTTATATAAAGCTTTTTTTGTTGAAACAGAACTAAAATTTGGGGCCTAACACTCTTTGACAGTTGCATCAACAGAACTGGGGCTCCAAGGGTTGTTTCAGACTATAATCTGCAGGGCTTTAGTGGTACTGAGATGCAATCGGCTCTGTTTTCCCTGATCCTTTATTGTCCTGGTAAATCATGTTTTACAAGATGCCTTAAAAAAACATAAACTATATTTATCGTGCAATATACCGCACTCCTATCAAGAGCCTGCAAACTTGTTTCATATAGCTGTCTACTCGTAAACTTCCTGATGGACTGTGGTGGCCTTTAGGTTTTAATAACTTTCTATCAGTCTTTGTGTCTGGAAAGCTGGACTGATGTTCCAAACATTAGGTAGTGCTGTGATTGTCATCAGAAGCCCAGGTAGAGCAGGGGTAAGCAGAAAAGTGCTTGTTAAAAAAAAAAAAAAAAAAAAAAACATTCCAAGGCTCCATATTTATTTCCTCGGCCAACTGAC